TGTCAGACTGTGAGGCTCTGTCTGTCCAGGGTCTTCATTGTTGCTTGGATTTTTTTTTTTTTTTAAACAAAAATTCCTGTCTTTATTCTATTATCTCTCTCCTATAGGAGAAGCAATTGAAATCAGTCAGGTGCCTCAAATTGGTTATGTGTTTATTATTATGACCCACTAAACATTCTCCCAACCATAAAACCAGGACACAGGTACTGTTAACATCTTCATGCTGTGAGAAAAGAAACTGAGTGTCTAAGAACTTGGTGAATGAACTGCCATGGCTGGATGGTGAGTGAGTGGACTGGGGTTTTGTCCCAGGCACGGATGCTAGGATCCGATCTCCAGCAAATAATGAGCTCTATAGAGAAGAGATAAAGTGAAGAACAAAACATTTACAGATTGCCAGGAAGGCCCCAGTGGCCGTGGAGATTGTGGAGATGCAGCCCTCAGGACTGGGGTTATTCTACTTCAGGCCCATTGAAACACATACAGCCTTTGTAATTGTTAGATTTTCCCTTGTCACTAGTTCTCTTTGTTTGTTTATTTTAGATCCCGACCCCAGTTTCTCTCCCACCCAATGCTTGGAAACTTTAAAAGTTCTATTATGCTTAAAAAAAAAAAACAAAAAAGGTGAGAGTGAGAATTACAGTGTTACATCCCTGTCAAAGCTGGCAAGTTTAGCAGCTGACCTTGGACAGGGGTTTGATTGTCTTAGTCTGAGCACAAGACAGACACAGCCAAGAATATTGTGTGTTGACCCTGCGATTGGAAGTTTTGGATACTAAAAAACTGAAGGAAAGCTGGGTGTTGGTGGGGAATGCCTTTAATCCCAGCACTCGGGAGGCAAATGGCAGCCTGGTCTCCAGAGTGAGTTCCAGAACAGCCAGGACTACACAGAGAAACCCTATCTCAAAAAAAACCTAACCAAAACAAACTGAATGAAATAGTAAATGGTTAGCTTTCCTGGAGGATCAGGGGACACATACCCAGACAGTGTCGAGGTCTCTATTAGCTGCCTTGTCAAGGGGACAGATGTTGGGGGTGGGTGATAATTGTTCCCTGGGTTCCTTGAATGAGTGTGTGAGTGAGAGAATGTGTGTGTGAGAAGGAGGTGCAGTTGGAGGGAGGAGGACAGGGAAAAGTCAGAGGGGAAGGCGGGAGTGGAGTTGGTGGTGGAGGCTGCTGGAGAGAGAAACTGGAGGCTGAGTGGGAGCATGTGTGGCCATCAAGGGTGTCATCTAGGCTGAGATCAGGGGAGGTACCTGTTGGGTCCCATGCTGAGACCATGGAGTACTGGACAGGAGGAATCTTGGAATTTTTACCCCCAAAATTATGGCAAAAAGGTCCAATTGTGGGACAGAATTGTAACTCAGTGTATTGTTCTATGGCCAATGTTCCTCTTCTAGGAGTAGAAACAAGGTCCAAGTTTTATTACAAAGGAAAAACAATGTTTTGTTTGCTTTGGTTTTTGAGAAGTTGAAGACAGAATTTAGACCAGTTTTTGAGAGTATGTCTCAGGTCAGGTCTTATATCCTACCAGAGATGCAGCCTTACCCCGAATGCATCTTCAGAGAGCAGTATCCCTCCGAGTTCAGTACCAACTTTACTGAGGTTTGCTCTAAACCAGGGCATCCACAGAGAATACAAACCTCCTGACTCACAGGTGAAACCCAGTTGGTCAAGCCAGACTGACCTTAAAGAGAGGCACACTGGCCAGGCTAGAAGAGAGGGCTCACTATCCCAAGAAAGTGAAACATTGGTTACCCTTGTGTCTCTCTGTGCAGAAAGTCTGACTGGGACAGGTGATCTGCAGGATTGTGTTGTTCTTGTCTGTGGTGCTGAAGTTCCAGCCAGGGCATTGGCACACACTAGGCAAATGCTCGCTTTCCCACTGAGCTGTGTCTCTGAGGTACTTCCCTCTCTCAGTAGAAGTGCTGTGCTATTAGAGGTGAGGGGAGAATCCTGCTTGTGTTATTACGGGAAAGTGAATGTTTCTTCCACAAAACATTTTCTTGTATACTTTTTCCCATATGGAAGTACATTTTGGCCAAACATGATGTCATTTTTTGTTTGTTTGGTTTTAGCTTTGGAGCCTGTCCTGGAAATGGCTCTGTAGACCAGGCTGGCCACAAACTCACAGAGATCTACCTATCTCTACCTCCCTAGTGCTGGGATTAGAGGTGTGCACCACCACCGACTGGCAATGTCACAAACCTTTTAATCCTAGCAGACAGGAAACAGGCAAGTGGATCTCTGTGAATTCTAAACCAGCCTAAGGTTCATGGTGAGACCCTATCTCAAAAAAGAAAAAGGAAGGGATGGAAGGAGGGGCGGGGGGGGGGGGGGAAGAAGACTATGCTAATGAACATTGGAAAAGTTGACTTAGGGCCTGGAGAGGCAGCTCAGTGGTCAGTAGAGCACACTGCCCCTTCAGAGGACCCAGGTCCAGTCCCCAGCAACCATGTTGGGCAGCTCACAAATGCCTGACACTCCAGCCCCAGGGATCTGACTTTCTTTGCTGGCACTAATCTTCCTAAAGCTAGAGTGAAATCAAGAAGAAAATTTTGGTGCAGAATTAAAAAAACTTTTAAAAAGATAGATGGGGAGAAAATCCTATGTTTTAACAGTCCTATAAAAAGGACTTTCTTCAACTGGACAAAGTGGCACACACCTTTAATCCCAGCACTCGTGAGGCCAAGGCAGGGGGAGCTCTGAGTTTGGGGCCAGCCTGGTCTACAGAGTTCTAGGACAGCCATGGCTATACACACATACACACACACAGGATTTTCATGTCTGTATGAATATGAAAAAAAATTTCCAAAGAAGAAAATGAAGACTATGAACAGGTTATTCATAAAATAAATACTAAGAGCCAGAAATACTAAAAAAAATAAATAAATTTATTAATAAAACTTTATTTTTGAGACAGGGTCTCTCCATAGCCCTGGCTATCCTGGAACTCACTCTGTAGATCAGACTGACCTCAAGCTTACAGAGATCTGTCTGCCTCCGCCTCCCAACTGCTGTGATTAAAGGTCTGTGCCACTGTGCCTGGCCTTTTATTAGAACCATTTTTTAACCTGTCCTATTGGCAACATGAAAAGGTTGGCATGTATGTACAGTAAAGGAAGGTGGGTGACACTGTGTGTTTGTGACACAGACACTGAGAACAACCTGGCAGGCTTGCAGATGCTTTGACTCAGAGCATCTACCCTGAGTAGATACCGCACCAAGTCCACAGACATGCAGGTTTAAGGCTGAAGGTTTATGCACGTGTACACACACACACACACACACACACACACACACACACACACACACACCCCTTATAGCCAATAAAACAAATTATGTATTTCAGAAAAAAAATTTTTTTAAAAAAGCAAGTTGCCAAGCTGGTTGTATACCTTTGAGTAAATGTGCATAGTACATGCTCACAGCCATGTGTACATTTATATGGACCAAGGCAGGACTGGGGGATTGCAGCAAACTGTTAATAATTATAACTTTAAGCTGGGTGTGTTGGTAAACAACAACAACAAAAACCCCAAAATCCTGAGTTAAACTTCCTATGCAAGCCTGGACACACACATGCATACACACACATAAGTGCACATACTATATACTCACACACTCATATAAACACACACTATACACTCTCTTGCATTCTGTACACACACCCTGGTGAGCCCTGGTGGGACGGAAGTCGAGCAGATATTTGCTAACTGGGGCAGCTTGGGACGGTTTGTGGCAGGTCACAGTAGCACTAAGGAAACCTCACCCTGATGTGGTTTCAGGCGGGCTTGGCACCTTGGATAGCCAAGGGTTAGGACCTTCCATCTTCCTGGCAATGACAGGTCAGCCCTGCTTCTGAAGTGCCATCCTCCTGGTAGGTGAACAGTACTTCTTGGAACCAGCCAGGCCTGGCATCCCATCTCCTCCTACTCTGGGAGACAAGATAAGCCCTCAGGGCAGGAAAACTGCCCTACTCACCTAACTCTGGCTCCTGAATTGAGGCAGTTGGTGGCCCAGGTGGTGGACTTCCTTGAGGTTGGGGTGAAGCAAGCTGCATGGCATTTAGTGCCCCTGTAGTCTCTACCTGGTGAGATCAGGGTTCAGAAATGTACCCAGGATGTTTATATCTACTCCCCCTGCCCTTGGCCTGCACTCACCCATTTAGAAGGAGCTACTCCGCTGCTGGCTGCGTCTATGTGGTCCATGCTGATTGCTCTCTTCCCATCCTTGAGTGGGCTGAGAAATTCTGCAAAGAACATTTATTTCACTCTGCTTTATTGGGCAGAAATAGTAAATGTGCTTCTGTGTTTGCAGTGATACAGATATGCTGTTTGATATTCTCTATTACTATTCTTTTTTTGTTTGGTTTGGTTTTTTGAGACAGAGTCTCAACTAGCTTTGAAGCCTGTCCTGAAACTCGCTAAGTAGACCAGTCTGACCTCGAACTCGGACTCACCTGCCTTTGCCTCCTGAGTGCTGGGATTTAAGGTGTATGCCACTACCTACCGCCCAGAGGTGATCTTAATATATAGTTTTGGGTGAGAGCCATAGTTAGGAATAGGTATATAGTGATAATAGTTTCAAAATCAAAAGTATTTGAAGTTGCCGGGCAGTGGTGGCACACGCCACAGCACTCAGGAGGCAGAGGCAGGCAGATCTCTGTGAGTTCGAGACCAGCCTGGTCTACAAGAGCTAGTTCCGGGCCAACCTCCAAAGCCACAGAGAAACTCTGTCTCGAAGGAAAAAAAAAAAAAAAAGTATTTGAAGTTGTCCTAGGTGGCAGGAGCTAGGGCCAGAAAACTTCGTTTGTCACAATACTGAACTGAAATTGTTGTGGGGGAACAGTCGAAACATTCTAGACTTCCACACTTACCCTCACATAATTATTAGTAAATGTCAGGGTGGTTATTCCTCATACCTAGGAGTTAGGACTCCAAGACTGACCCCATCGGGGTTCGAGCCCCAGCTGATATGCTCACTGTCTCTGTTCCCAGCTTACACGGACTTCTTCCTGCCGCTGCTGAGTCGCTGCCCCTCAGCCATGGGGATAAAGAATAAGGATGGGGAGACTCCTGGGCAGATTCTGGGCTGGGGACCACCCTGGGATTCTGCTGAAGAGGAAGAGGATGAGGAGGTCTCCAAGGAGCAGGAATGGCATCAGAAGCTTCAGGGCGAGCTAGAAGATGAGTGGCAAGAGGTCATCGGGAGGTTTGAAGGTGAGGAGTCAGTTGCCACGGATAGCTGCCCTCCCTCCCCGCCATGTTCTCCACCCTAGGCCCTCTCCTCTGCATGTGTCCTCTTTATTTTACTATCTTTTATCTGGCCTCTAATCACAACCTCCCTCCAACAACCTCCTCCCTCCTCCCAAACAGAGGATGCTTCTCATGAGACACAGGAGCCTGAGTCCTTCTCAGCCTGGTCAGACCGCCTGGCTAGAGAGCATGCCCAGAAACGGCGGCGGCAGCTGGAGACAGAGGGATCCCGCCAACCCCTAAGGGCTGAGGGCTCCAGTCACAGCTGGCGGCAGCAAGAGGAAGAACATCGGCTTTTCCGAGAACGAGCTCGAGCCAAGGAGGAGGAACTGCGTGAGAGCCGAGCCAGGAGGGCTCAAGAGGCTCACAGGGACAGAGGGACAGAGCCTCCCAAGCCTGGGCCCAGGGCAGAGCACCCACGAGGGGCAGGGAGGGGTGGCCTCTGGCGCTTTGGTGATGTGCCCTGGCCATGCCCTGGTGGAGGGGACCCAGAGGCCATGGCTGCAGCTTTGGTGGCTAGAGGCCCCCCTCTGGAGGAACAGGGGGCTCTGAGAAGGTACTTGAGAGTCCAGCAGGTCCGATGGCACCCTGACCGCTTCCTGCAGAGATTCCGAAGCCAGATTGAGACCTGGGAGCTGGGCCGTGTGATGGGAACTGTGACAGCCCTTTCTCAGGCCCTGAACCGACATGCAGAAGCCCTCAAGTGACCCTAGGGGATGAGCAAGAACCTGTGGGGATGTCACCAAGGACAGGCAGGAAGAGGCGGAAGTTTGTGGATGGGGATGGATACGAGGCAGCTTAGCTACTGCACAGAGGATATGGGGCAGGCTCACGTAATGGGTGCGGGGGTGGGGGGGAGGCTCTACCACTGCTCTGACTATGCCATTTCCTAATAAGACCTGGTTCCACATCTCACTCCAGAGTCTTCTGCTTTTTCCATCGCTATGGTTTTCATCACCCATGACATCTCCTTTCCCGCCCAACTGTCGAAACCCGCAGCTCCCACACACCTGCAGCACATAGTCCGACAGTGTGCCGCTATCAACGGAGGCCAGAAGGCCCCGGCCTGTCCTCCTGCGAGGTCAGCCCTTATAAGGCCCAGTTTGTCCCTCAAACCCCCTCTGCTCCCTCCCCTGGGATCCTGACCACTTTGTAGACTACAGCTGAAGATATGAACAAGTGACAAAAAAGGGAACAAACCGTTTTCCTCCTGTGCTCCCCAAGCAGAACCACATCCTCCTCGCCGTGGCTCCCCTCCCTCTCCCCACTGGCACCCCTACCCAACACAGGGCTTTCCCTGTGCTGAGTCACTGAATGTGCTGAGGCGGGGGCCGCCAGGGCTAGGGGCCATAAGGACTGGGGAGGATGAAGACTAGAAAGAGAGGATGGAGGAAGAGCCTGTGGGGGAGGGAATTTCGCTTGCTAAAATTAGAAGCAGGAAGGAGGCTGGAAATAGCCAGATTATGTAACCGGATTGTCTGTTCTTGGGCAACTAGAGCTCCACACCTGAGCCTATCCCGGCTCCTGGGCAGCTCCTCTGCCTTCTCAGTCTCATCTCTCTGGAGCTCCAATCCTGGCCATCTACTGTTCCACTCCCCCACCCTGACTAAACCGGGGCTTCAGCTCTGGGCAACCCAGGCTTGACCCTTCCACATAAACATCTTCCTAAGAACCCACAGTTGAGGTCCTAGGGGGTCAGAGAGAAAGGGCCTGAGACGTGGAAGATGGAATAGGGGAAATCCATCCAAATTCAGCAGTTCTTTCTCTGGAAATGGAGAAATTGTAGGCAGACCCCACTACCAATACCTAAGACACAAGTGGGAACTCAAGTCTTTTTGTTGTTGTTTGTTGTTTTTTGGTTTTTTGGTTTTTTTTTTTTTTTTTTTTTTTTTTTTTGTAGAGGCAAGACAGAAAAAGTGTTGTGCATGCGTGCAGTCTGTGTGGTTGTGTGTGATCTGAAAAGAAATTGTAAGGACTACAACCCCAGCCTACTTAAGAGGTCCTAGCATTGCACAGGAAAAAAGCTGCTGGGACATTTGGTGGGCCTGAGACCTGGGACTCAGGGAGATATCAGGGAGGTTAGGAAGAGGCCAGAAAGTCCCCTCGCTCCAAAGCCGGGCAGATGTTGAGCAGTGGGATAAGAGAAAGCTGCTGTGATTCGGAGAAGTCTTGGAACTGTGAGTAGCCCTTGCATCCGGTTCTTCTCACAGGCCGGGATTTCGGAAGTGGACCTTGAGCTGGGGTTGAGAGGAGCAGCAGTGTTGGTCTGTGGACTGACAGCACTTGGTTTCCTCCTCTGCACAAATGACATGAAACCAAAATACACTGATGCCTGCGTCCCCCCACCCCAGGCCTCCCTCTCTAGTCCCCCTCCCTGGTGTCTGGCCCCCAGCCCTGGTGGGGGTTCCCCTGAGATGAAGGCTGTTCACTTTCTCTGACCACATGGTTTCCGCTTCTGCATCTCTCATTTCCTAGGCTGATAAAAATATGAGTCCCAGAGGCCCCGGCTTCCTCTGACCCCCTGGTACCAGGCAGCAGGCATCCTGTCCACCATGGTGGGGGTGGAGAGGGGCCTCAGGGATCCCCAAAAGTTGACTCAGTGCCTGCCAATAACAGTGGTTGCTGTGGGAATGTGTCCCTTTCATCAGGCTGAGCCCAGGAATTGGATCTCTGGGGTAGGGTACTTTGCAGCTCAATTTGAGAAAAGAGGTTAGGAAAGAAACTAGAGATTGAATGTCAGCCTGGGGATTGAGGTGGAGGTCTGTTTCAGTTAAATTAGGACAGGGGTCTGGGCTTCTGTTTGGTACAATTCAATTGAGTAAAGAATTCAAACCCTGCTTCTGGGGACATACCCATATCCCAGTGACTGAAGGTCTTCACAGTAGGGCCTATGAGACACAGGCAGAAAGCTCCCAGAGGGCAGGAACAGTGGAAATGTCTGCATGTGTTGTGGTGGGGTGGACCAAAGAGCTTGGGCTGAGGCTGAGAAGCCAGAAAACGGTGTGAGCTGGTGTGAGCAGGTGTGAGCTGAGCATCTTGAAGAAGCTCAGGTCAGAGGAAGTGTGTGCAAAGAAGGCTGGGGTCAGGAAACTGATTTGTACTATGATGGTGACCTGGAGCAGCTATGAAGTTTGAGAGTGAGAGGGTGCTGCAGGGCCAGGCAGAATCTCCCCTGGGTTAGCTCAGCCCTTTCCAGTCACAGTAATCCTGCTGGGGTCTCCAAATCTCTCAGGATAGGGCACAGTGGCCGGCTGAGTGCTTTTACTGAAGGGACTCAGGCAGATCTCTGCACCCTCCCACCCTCCAATCTCAACCCTTCCTCCTCTCACACTAGGACTCTTGCCTATTTGGGTCACCAAAGCTAAGACCAACCATAAAACTCAGCAAAGTTCTCTGCCCCTCCAATTTTCCATGTAAAAACTGCCCACAATTGAATTCTTCAAACCATGTCTGACGGTAGGTCATAAACCCCTCTGCCAAGGTCTTAGGAGGAAGAAGTGTCGCTTAGAAAGGTCCTGACAATGCCTAGCTGAGTTCCCTGCCTCTGTATCTATTAGGTGACAACCTCTGACCAATCAGATCTTTATATAGCTGTTCCCTGTGTGTTGTCAAATCTAAACCTAAAAAACAGACACCCAGTTAGGGCTTTGAGTTTTCATGTCTAAAGACTCCCATTGTAAAATTATTTTTTATGTGCTTGTCTCTTGTTGACATGTCTTTGCAACAGCAGAGCTATGGCCCTGTATAAGAAAAGTGGTCATACCCTTCAACCCTTTATTGTCGTCATCTCTTCATAACGTAGGTGTGGACCCTCCCTTTACAGCATAGCCATGCAGCTCAAAGGGGTAGTGAAATGAAGATTAACTCCTATCCTTCCACTTAAGTCCAATACGTGTGGTGGCATTCAGGTGGGGAGGGGAGATGGTTCTGCCCATAAGTGCTTGCCTTGCAAACAAGAAACCTGAGTTTGATCCTCAGCACCCACATAAGAGATCCATTAGGTGAGAATCAAAAGGATCTTATAGGTTCACAAACTAGACAGTTACAGGTTTTGAAAGAGACAATTTCATTTTATTAGAAAAGAGAGTTGCTTTTCACGTTGAGTAATGAGTGGGAGGTGATGTGAGGGGTGGTGGGTGCAAAGACTGGCGAAGACAAGACAGGAATCATCTCTACCCACAAATCTTGATGATGGGGAAAATCTTACTGGTCCTGTTAGTCAAAGGGTCTAGTATTCTGAAACATCACACAGAGAGGGCAAGGGAGGGGGAGAAAGATTCCAGGGAGAGAATTTTTACATTTATCTTCAAGAAATAACACTGAATATGTTTGTTAAACAAAGGAAAGCTATGTAAAATGAGGGCAACACTGGAAATGTAAGGAAGTGGGTGGGGAGGAAGGGGTATCAAAGGGTACAGATTGAAGGATCAACCTTGGGAAATAAAAAGTACTTCCAAGAAGGAAGCACAGAGGAAGTGTTAGTAACAGGAAAAGGGGAGGTATCGTCAGTGGGCTCAAGCTCAGTGAGGTAAATAAAGGACAGCATCACCAACTGACAGCCAGCAGAGCCCATCAGCAGCCCCTTGGGATGCCACCCTCCATGTTTGGTAGCACAGGAGGGAAACCCAGGAAACCCCTTTTCATTTTCTCAGATTGAAATCTCAAGGGTCTTTTGGTAAAACATCAGATGAGTAAGAGATTCAAAACAGAGTAAAATTGTTAGACCTGTCGATTGTGGTAACAAAACCAGCAAGAAAAGCTGGGGGATGGCTGATCTGGAGATGGATGGATGGATGGATAGATGGAAATGGTTGGATGGAAGGATGACTGGGGTGGATGGAGGGATGGATGAGTGGATGGAAGAATGGATTGAAGGGTGATTGTAATGGAGGGATGGATGAATGGAGGGAGGGATGGAAGGATGGAGGGAGGGATGGAAGGATGGAGGGAGGGATGGAAGGATGGAGGGAGGGATGGATGGGATGGGTAGATGGATGGGAATGGTACAGTGGGTAATCACTGCCCACAGAAAAACGAGGACTTGGGCTGGGATTCTGTGGGTTTTCAATGCCAGCACTCTTGCAGTGAGGTAGAAGGTGAGAAAGGAAGAAGAATCCCCAGACACTTTGTGGGCCAGGTAACCTGGTGTGTGCAGCCAAAGGGCATGAACCTGTCTCAAACAAGGAAGAAGGTAGCATAAACCCCTGAGGCTGCTCACCAACCTCCAGACACACGTGAAAGCACACATCAACAAGAAGCTGATATGGTGGCTTATGGCTCAACCCCAGCCTTTGAGAAGTGGAGGCAAGAGGATTGGGAGTTCAAAGTCAACCTAGGCTACATGACCCAGTCTCAAGTCCCCCACCCCCCCCCAAAAAAAAAACTAACAAGAGAGAAGAGGGTTGGCAAGATGGCTCAGTGGGTAAAGGGCATTGGTGGTGCACACCTTTAATCCCAGCGCTCGGGAGGCAGAGGCAGGCAGATCTCTGTGAGTTCTGGGCCAGCCTGGTCTACAGAAGTAGTTCCAGGACAGACTCCAAAGCTACACAGAGAAACCTTGTCTGGAAAAAACCAAACCAACCAAACAAACAAACAGAAAGGAAGGAAGGAAGAAAGGAGCTGGAGAGCTGAGTCAAGAGAGAAGAATTAATTAATTCAGTGGAGAGGAGAGAATGGGGGAAATGCGTGTGGTTATAACTAGGGAGAATTCAAATATCAAACTCTTAAAAAAAAAAAAAAAAGAATGTGAGAAAGAGGTGTGCACATATATGTGAGTGCCCACAGAGGTCAAAAGAGGATCAGAGCCCTAGGGGCTGCAGCCAAAGACAGCTATGAGCCACCTGCTGTGGGTGCTGAGAACTG